GAGCTCACAGTTAACATCCTTATATTTTAAATCATAAATTCCTCCACAAATAATTTAAAGCCATTTTGAATGTTTGTAACTTATTTTCCTCTTTTCACTAATTTATGCAAAATATTTCTCTAGAAGAAACAAAATGGAAATGTAAATTTAAAGTTGAAATGAAAAATATTACCACCTAAAAAGGGAGAACAAGTACTTTATATATCCACCTTATCCAATCCAAACAGTGCTTGTCTTTGAAAATCAGATGCTGTTTCTCTGGCTGTTGTTATAGATGTAAGGATGGGTTTGAATGTATGAATGATGGCTTCTTTAAGGTTTGGAAATGGCATCAGTGCAGGGTTATTTATGCCGCAGTGTACTCTGTAAATAAAGTAGATGCATAAACTCTGGTTTGAGCATCTCAGTACCCACAAAAACCTTCTTGAATTTGTCAAATAGCCTCATATGGTGTGGAGTCCAAATCTCTCTAAAGCTCTAAAGGAGAGAAGGTACAAACTTTGCTCCTCAGCACAAATGGTTGATGAAAATTGTTGTTATTGAAAATCCCACCTATATAAACCTTTTATAAACAAAATGCCAATTTTAAATTCTAATTTTCACAAAATAATTTTTTTTTGGTGAGAAAACAAAGTGGTTTTATGAACCTAATGAAATTTCAATCTTGCTGAAAATAAATTTGCCAACAAACTTCCAAAGACCTGCAATTTTTTTGTGCAAAAAAATGGCAGACCTTTGTTTTGTGAAATATTACATCTTTAGAAAATACATTATTCTAAGATTATTACAGAAGATTATTGTTGTAGGATCTTTAATTAAATAGAATTTGATTTTTTATAGCGCGTTCAACTTCCTGATTTGCAGCAAAATCCTTTTAGCTGTTATTTTTTATGTAGCCTATATATTTTAAGTAACTTGGATTTTAGAACAGAATTATTTATACTTACATTATATACAGTAAATATTAGGTATATTCTCTTTAAGGAAGCAAAAATAGAGCCTTGTATTTCAAAGAAAACATCAGCATTTAGCGTTAGAAAACTAGCAAAGAGGTACTAAAGGAGATATTAAAGATTTTATCTCATAAGAAAACATAAATTTTTCAATGTAACAAAGCAATGTGAACTCAAAAAACAGCAAACATTTTTCTTAATTGATAAAAAAAAGTCTTGGAATGACAGCTGGAGAGAGGCCCCAGCACCCCTCGCGACGGCACTCAGGATAAAGAGTGTCAGACAATGGATGGATGGATGGATGGATGGATGGATGGATGGATGGATGGATGGATGGATGGATGGATGGATGGATGGATGGATGGATGNGGAAGTCTTGGAATCATGGAAATTTAAACAGATAGTTTGTGGATTTGTTAGGTAAGACATTGAAGCTGTTAGCTGTTGTTAGTTAATGGTGAAATATGATGAGGAGTATGGAGCTCTGAGCCAGCTCTCCTGTTATGGCCCACTTGGCACAGCTTTAGTTTCCTGCTCCCAATGAGCTGCCTTATGTGCAGCACTGCTTGCTTCATCGGCTGCAGTTTTCTAGGAGAACGCAGAATCCAATTGTTTTTACTTTGAACTGTGGTCTCTGTGTGAGTGAACTGCATTAACTTATCATAAATAGATGATTTTGGAATCCTTCTACGGGTGAAAATATTTGAATTTTTTGTGAGGTTTTTATGCGTCTTCTGTAATTTTCAGTTACACTCAGTTATTACAGAGGCTAAATGTTGGGGGTTTAGACCCTTTTATGTTCAATGGTTTTTATTGTTCCTCTGACATATTGGAGGCAAATGGTTCTAAAAACAGATCCTGAAAGTTGGATTGCCTCAATGGATTTCTGCTGCTTTGGTTTTGTTGCGTTTTATTGTCACTCTTGAATGCTTTGGATAATCTAATTTCTTAGTGAGATAAATATAATCCCAGTAAAAAGCAATTAATGGATAATGATCTCATAACAATAAAAAACAAACATTCAAACTCACTGTGAGGGAGAGCAGCTGCCAACTGAAGGTAATAACTGGCTGTGCCATCATTCAGGAGCAAACTGCATGGAGTGCTGGTGTGATTTGCATTCTGTTTTTACTTGCTTTGTTCCGGAAAATGTACACACAATCCTTTGCAGGAGTGATTTCACTTAAGAGGGTTATTACACTGTTACACATGGACATCCTGTTTAACATCCAGGTACAGCTTCAGTTTGATTTAAGTCCAAAGTTTTATTAAGCCAACACAACCTTCATTTTACGGAGGCTGTTCAAAGATAGTGTTGGTCCAGACTGATTTATGCTTAATCTAAGTTTGCTTGACCTTTATGTCAAAAACGAACAAGGCAAATATGCAGAATATTTTACTAAAAGGCTTTGGGATCAAATCATCCTGATATTTTGTTTATGCTATTTTCTTTTTTAATGGAAACTAGCTTTTGTATTGTTATGATTATTTTGTTTAGGTCAATAGCTTCACCTCGATCGACAGATTTCAGTTTTTTCCTTTCTTAATTTAAAATGATGAAACATGAACACTGAGACTAACTGTGTCACCACAATGTGGCCTGTAGTTCTTAAGATGCTTCTTAATGATATCTTAAATAAGTCTTTGATACTTTCTTGGAATAACTTGGTTTCTCTATTTGTGGCCTGGGGTCTGTTATCTAAACCTGAAATCAGGGAAACTCTGAATTTTCTGTTTAACAAAGAGAGTTTCCTAAACCTCTGTTTCAGTCACCGTGGTAACATTCTCTCCAGAGCTAACCTGGTCGGTAGCAGGTTTTCTTCAGTAAATTCAGAGTGTCGCCCCCACCCCCACCCCCACCCTCTGCACTCTCCTTACAGCCAATCACGCTGTTTTATTTCCCTATTTAGTAGGTATTTTGTCGTAGTTTTGTGCATGAAAAAATATTTAAATCATTCATTAGGTTTTAAAAACAAACATTGCATGTCTGTTTAAAGAATCTGCACTTTTTCACAGAGAATTAAATATTATTAGGGAGAGTATTCTACAACTCAGTTGACAGGGCATGAGATTCCTTGTGTTTGGTTTGTTGATATTTCATTTAGTTATATTTACAGTGCATGAAGAACTACTTAAATTATTTTTAGATTACACATAAATAGATTCATTAATTCTGCGGGGGAAAATGAACAACTTTAAGGTTAGGATTAAAAATTAACTCGCTGATAACCTAACGAGCCATTCTATGGGACTGATAGACGCTTATAACAGCCATTGATTGGGATGATAACATCCAAAGTGTGGCTGCAAACAGCCACTTTACTGTGTAAAAAAAGACTGAATCAACGTGAGGAGGGACAAATGAGATGATGCGCAGATTCTATATATTAGAACAATGTCTTTAGACTTCATTTTCACCTGCTGCAAGAAAATTTTCCCTTAATAGATGCATTGATCTATTACCATTCAAGAAATAATCTGGTAACGTTTTATCAACAGTATGGCAAGCCGTTTTGATATGTAATAGTTTTCGAAATATGTATTCCTGATATGTGAAAGAAAAAAAATTAGTTTTCTAAATGATAATTCTCAACATCTATTATAAACATTTTGTATGTCTATAAATTAATTTTGTCTCTCCATATTCCTAATATTACTGGTCAGCATTTGTATTATTTTAACTTTGAAAAAATGTTTTTCAGTTATCATAAACACTTTTTTTAGTCAAGATAAATTTTAAAATGGCCATTTAAAATGTGTAAACTAGATACATAAAAATGTATTCTTACTAGTATAATTCTTTTTTTTTTTACTTTCTTAAATTCAGTTTCCGCTACAAAAATGTAATTTATCAGGAAGAATCTTATTTTAGTGATCTACAAATGGAACAACAGAGAGGAGTGCTTTAGTAAATGTAAAAACGGCCTACCATAGCCACTTCATATAAATAAATGCATTAACTTGAGCTACATTCTTGTCCTTCACCACTTTCCTCTCCTTTGTAGCTGTAGCACTGTTTCTCTGTCTTTTAAACCATTCTCCTAATTATTTTATTTTTTTGCATTTCTGCATTCAAATCTGTAGCTCCAGTGGCGTGGAATAGACCCTTCCTTTTCCCTGTTGTCATGTTGACTTGTTGAATTGGTGCTCCACTTATGGCTTTTCATAGTTGTTACACAGGTGCCTAACTCTGAGTGGACTTAGTTAAAATTGATTGAACTAATTCATAAAAGCTGCTATGAAACCAAACACTCAGAGTTCCTGACTTTAGGCTAGATCAATTTAGAAGTGTGGATTTGAATCTGAATTTGTTAAACCTGATTATTGAAATGGACCCCTGGTCTTTAACGATTCCAAATAAGGGGCACTAAATTACCAGGTGCATTTATTTATTTCTTGTGTGTAATAAGTGGGCGTGTTAAGGGAGTTCTACAAAGATTGCTGCTCAAATGTTAAGATGCACAAACCATCTAAAGATCAGGGCCCACAAGCCTTAGAGATGGTTTGTAACCTTTCCACACTGACCTTAAACTGTTAAATTTATTTAGATGAAGGGGTGATGTAACTCTTTTTAAAATCTTGTGGCATACTTCATTTTGTCAAACAAGTATGAGAATTTTTCTGTCTGGCAGTAATTAGGTCTGTGTGTAGCTTGTAATTGTATTTACATTGTGGTATCTACTCATGTTATCTTTTTCATATATTTTTTTTAATAATATAAAATGCTTAAGGAAAAAACAGGATCTTTAAGGGGACGAAGATTTTCCATATCATTACACATTTATAGCATAAGGGAAAGATGTAGATGTAAAAGATGTGTGCAGAGCTTTTATAGCCTACAGCTGTGTGAAAGTCTCACTTTCACAGAGAGGTTCATCTCGCTGCATATATTAACACTCTCCAAATCCAAGAACTAGTTTTGTTCGGCTTGGAAGAAAGCATCCTGCTTGTTACTCTTAACGACATAAACAGCAGGAGTTATTTTTGTGCCTACATGTTCTAATAAAATCAGTGTGGGCTATAATTTCTATTGTCTTTTTCTTCCAGATTTTTCACAATCAAACGCCTGAGAATAAAGTAGAAAGCAACAAAGAACAAACTACTATTAGTCCCTGAGTCTGCTATTAAAGCTCTTTCCTCTTAAATCCCACCTGTGACCTGCTGTAAGGCCACCATGTCTGGGAAGGAGCGCAGCCCCCGCCATCGGCCTTGGTCTGTCTACCGGGCCAACACCTTTGATCTGTCTGCTGAGATGATGGGGCTTGCTCTCTCAGGTAGCTACGTAACCGGTACCATGGTAACCACCAAATGAAACATTGCTCATCTTTTGTATTTTTGTCTACTTCACAGGCACCAGCCAGGATCCAGATGAACCAGTCCTGGAGTTTAGCGTGGGTATGTTCATAAATATCAAATATGTATTTTATTTATTTTGTGTTCATAATTTTTTCTTAAATATAACACTCTATATGTTTAAACCTGCAATGTCTTTGTTCCTGGGTAAATGAGTCTACCACCAAAAATAATTAATAACTATGCCATTATTTAAAATATAGTCTTTTCTTCCATCCATTCATCCATCCAAGATTATAGAAACAGTGCAAAGTTTTAATGAGCCCTTTATTATGTCCCCAATGAGCTGGATATATCGTTAAAATTTCTACCTGCTGTAAGAGTCTTTGGAAGTAAAAATCTTTTGTGGCATATCCATTGCTCTTTCTGCTGACTCTTGTTATTTTTAACGACCATACAGGAATGACATACTACTGAATGTTATGCACTAACTTTACAGTCAATGCCGACCCCAGTTGGTCTGTCATACATTGTACTGTGAACAAACGGCCAACTTGCTGGGTGTTAGGACAACAAATGGTTGAAAAACCTTATTAATAAAATCATGAAGACATAAAATCGATAGATTTTATGTTTGAGAACCAAAGTTTATCTTGAAGTGATTGGAATGAGGTCAAAGTAGCTTTTGACTAGACTCAGACAGAAAAACAGCTTCATTGTTAGAGCTGTTGCTGCCCTGAAATCCCCATATACATTGTAACTACAGAAAATCATATTATATCATGTAGAAATTACACTGCAATCTCTGTGTTAATATTCTTGTGTATATATATTCTTCTGTAACTGCAAAGTCCTTTTATAGCTTTTTTAATGATATTTATTTTCTTTTTATGGCATTATTTGCATGCAGTGTTTTGTTTTATATTGTTTTGAACTGCTAAAATTTCATTGTACCTTTAAGGAACAATGACAAATAAAGACTTAAAGACTCATTTAGAACAATTTGAATGTGTTGAAAGCAATTCACAATGCAAATCAATTAATTAAATAAAATATTATTTGGTAGATTGATATTTCATTCAGTCATTTCTCAATTACCAATCAATTAAATTTTAATTAATTGATTCATGGCCTTCTGTGACTATTCTTAGGGAACAGTTAAATGCTAAGGGACACCTAGTCTCTTTAGGCTTGGTTTAACATTGAGGCTAGTAGTTAGCAGAAGGACTCTATTGGTCATATATTTTCGTAATCAAATGTAACAAGAATATGAGAAAACATACATTTCAACATTATATTAGTGTTATACCTTTAGTGAAAGAAAGTTGGTTTTTATTACATATTAACATGGCGTACCATACAGTCACCATTAGCTTTTCGTTTACCTTACACTAGAGTAAATAGCTTTAGGCTCAATGTACTATCTCAATGTAATATGTGCGTAATTCTTATGGCATTGCACTCTGCTAAGGCATATGAAGGCAAGGCAAGTTTATTTATATAGCATTTTTCAGTGACAAGACACATCAAAGGGTTGTACAACAAAAAAAGCAAAAGTACTGTACTGTATTAATCCCAAACAGAGTTTGCTGTCGGTAAAAAAAAAAAAATCCCTTTGCAACCACCAAAACATTGTTTTTTTTATTAAATGTGGATTTCCTAGCTTTGACAACCACCATGTGAGACCAAATATAAAACTGATACAGTAAATACTGAAATGATGAACAATCACAGTCTCCCCCATCTATGATGCTATTTTGTGTTTGTTTTTACCTTGACAGACTTTATGCTGAGACAGGTCATGTAATGCAATATGTACCTGGATTCAGTTAAAAAAACAAAATAATAAAACTATAAAAGTAAGTTACAGATACAAATCAGTATGAAACACATTCAACCAGGAAAAGAACATAGTATCTTTTAAAAGCTCTAAGAAATACATATATGTAATCAAGAATAAAAAGGAAACCAAGTAACCTTAATCAATATTAAAACAGATTTCTGTCCTAAATGAACAGCTAGCTGTAATTCAGTGAACCTGGACTGGCTGTGGAGTGTCAGTTTAAGAACAGGAGAAAACAATACAGTCACATTACTATCACAAAAAAACAGTTATGTAAGAACTTGTGCTAATAAAGCACCAACAACTCAGAATTGCTGTGTATGATTTCCTCCCTGCAGGGATTATATGCCACCCAAGCATTTAAATCCTAGTACTGGTAATCTCTTATGTTGCTTCAGCCTGCAGTGAGCTGGTTACGCCCTCTCTGGACCGCAAGCCAACCAGCTTTGTAGCTGTCAGCTGCACCACTCCACCACAGGCCTTCTGGACTAAACACGCCCAAACTGAAATCATAGAGGTAAATGAAATACGCTTCTTCCTAATTCCTTAATATTGTATAAAACCTACTGTTCACCTTTCTCCCTATCGCCATGTCTCCTCAGGCCACCAGTAACCCCATCTACCTGAGCAGCATAGCATTCTTCCAGGACTCTCTCATCACTCAGCAGACCCAGATAAAACTCTCTGTCTATGATGTAAAGGACCGATCACAGGGCACGGTAATGTCTAAAAGAAAGCCTGAATGCAAATACCTTCATGATATGTTTTTATCCTTGGTAAACCTTTGTTCATTTTCTCTCACAACAGATGTACATGCTTGGTTCATCCATGTTTTCTGTAAAGGAGCTGCTGCAGGACAAACACCACAGGCTGCATTTGACTTTAAGGTGACAGAGAGAAATATCAAGATATAGGATGCAAAGTGATCATTTAGAAGCCAATGTGAAATCTGTTTGGATCCACCGGGATATCAAGGTGTGTGTGTTTGTGTGTCAGGTCAGCAGAGAATGAGCGTGTGGGCAACATCACAGTAATCGCCTGGCAAATAGAGGAGAAGCGGGAACAAAGGACACCAGTTGCAAGATTACAGAGGGGAGACACAGTCAATGGAAGGGTAAGATGGGCAAAGCAAGTTTTTTTTTCTTTTCTTTTTAGTATAATAGAATAATGCCTCCCTGGAGACTGTTTAGGAAAACAATTATTGAGAGTCAGTATGGTGAAGTTTTGATGATTATGTCGATTCCTTATTAAGATGTGACTTATTATGTTTTGATATCAATGCCAATGGCTTCCTTTGAACTGTCCTTGTTTTCGTTCTGTTAGATGGTTCTTCCTGTCGATGAAAGCTTGACTGGATCCACAAGTATTAAGTCAAAATCTTCGTCTTTATGTAAGGATCCAATATTAAAAGCAGGTGAGTGTCTTTATATTTGTGAAGATTTCACCATGATGGAACATGTTCTCATTTTGTCACATTCAAGCCCCAAGGTTTAATTTTTGGGGGGAATCTTATGTGCTGGTCAAACAAAGAATTGTACATACTTATGGATATGAGGCAAAATAAAGCATATCTATATTCAGGCTCTGAAACAATACTTTTGAGGTCGGTGTCTGTTGGCCTGGCACATCCAGAGACTGACATTGTTGCTAATGTTGTTTTTCCTTCTCCTATTACTCAAGATCAGTCAGATTGCTTAGAAAGTCTTAAAGCAGCTGTTTCTAAGTCATTCTTTTGAGTCTAAGTTGTATTAAAGTTTGGGCACTGACTGGGCCATTGTAATACAAGAATACACTTATGGTGCATTAGATTTACCTTGGAACTCAGAACAAGGAGGCTCAAGTAACGATGAAGATTTACCGTTCTATACTTTATTCTCCTCTTTTAAACAGTGTATGGACATATAGTCTTCTAAGTACTAAAAAGTAGTTCACAAATGTCTGACCTAATGCTACATGCAGAACATAAACAGCTGCTACAAACAACCAATGTTATTAGGTTGGACTGCTGTTGATATGAGTACAAGCCTTATTGATGCAAAGTAATGTATGCCCCAGCATTCTGAATTGGTGTTTTGACTTTCAATTCAAGTTTGCTGCTCTGTGGTTTAGCATTTATGACTTCCAAGTACAACTGGAACATAACATTAGACCAATTGTCCATAATTAGCTTGTATCAAACAGTGGAGGAATTCAATGGACTATCTTTCAAAACTTTAACAATGAGGCCACTACTCCTTACAAGCCACATCTCTACAATGCATTACTTATACACTGATAAAAGCAACTCATAAGATTTACTTAAAAATATATTTTAAGTATTTTGATGCAGCAAAATTTAATGCTGCAATATCAATTAACACTCACTTGGCAGTATCAAGTGAATTTAACTTTCCATACGACATAACAGTTGTGAATATGTTAAGTAACATTTACTTAATTACATCCAAGTTGTAAGTTAGATTCAGTTAAACAAATTAAGTAAAGTGTGTTTGTTTGTTCATAGGCACAAACAGCATTTTATTCAAATTTTTAAGTAAATCTTATATCCCTGTAGTATTTACTGTTATGAAGTAATTAAGTAGATATTGATTATTTTCTTGTGCTTGAGATATTGATTTACTGTGTTGCATTATGTTACGTTACTCACTAATATTAGGTATTCATTGCTAGTTTTCTTGTGATAAATGTTACCAAATAAAATTAACCAATAGACTATACATTGAATATACATCAAACAGTTTATTTTTCATTTCAAACAGTTTAACAAAGAAGTAAATACCCCTATTGTATTAAATTGCCATATATTTCCAGCAAGAGGTGCTGGTGCCTATCTCCAGCTGTCGATGGGTGAGAGGTCACCAGTCTGTCGCAGGGCAACACAGAGACAAAAAAACACTCAAGCACACTCACACCTAAGGAGAATTTAGAGAAGCCAATTAACCTAACAGTCATGTTTTTGGACTGTGGGAGGAAGCCGGAGTACCCGGAGAGAACCCACCCATGCTCAGGAAGAACATGCAAACTCCATGCATAGAGACCCTGGGCCGGGAATTGAACCTGGAACCTTCTTGCTGCAAGGCAGCAGTGCTACCCACTTTCACACTGAGTAACCCTCTTAGTGGAATTGTACTTATCAAATATCCAATATTAAATTTACAACCTACTGAAACTGAAAGTTTCAACATTCGTTACAGAAATATACTTATATGTAAGATGAAGAATATTTAACTTACACAAACATGCTTAGAACAACTTTTGGGCGAGGGTCAGAACAAAAACAGCCACTTAAACTTTGAGATGTGGTGTAAAGATTATGTATGCCTCTATTTAAATGAAAAAAGCATGTACAAATATAGGATTAATAGTAAAAGTGCATTATGTTGCACTGCATTAGAATTTGTACCGAAAAAAAGATAAGGTTGGTATGACTTGTAAACAACAAATACAGTTTTTCATATACACCACATCCAACATAGATCTGGCAATATACTGTAGTACTACTCAAATATGCGATAAAAATCTTACAAACCTCCACACTGAAAAAGTGCAATTTCAACATTTAAACCAGTTGTCCAGACTTGTGGACTTTTAAGAATGCAATTTAATGAAACCAAATCAAAACAATTAAAAATGAACAGCTTAAACTGTCTAACCATTCTGATTGAAGAATAAAATCTCTACTAGATATTTGAATAAAGGTATCTGTTATTTTTTGCCAAATAAAAAAACAAAAAGAAAAAGAAACAAAGAAAAGCAACTTCAACTTCAGGGTGTTTGCTTTTGGGGACAATTTAAGTCCATCCAACTCCTGGAAATGTTTTTGGGAGACTGCAAAAGTAGAGCGCAGGGTGGGAGTATGATGTTCAGGACATATATCAGTCCTATGACCAGCGAGCAGGCTTGTGCAGCACTGTTGCACCCTGCCAAAATGACTGTCGGCACGACTACCTCTTGCTCTGTGTGTGACCCTGTAACGTCTGGACTCAGAGCAGAATCAGTCCTGCTGTGAGTTACAGTGCGCATGCACCGTGCGTTTAAAATGCTACATTTTTAGAGCAAAGTTTAAAGGTAGCAGTAGTAGTATTTTTAGGTTTATGTACATACTGCTATTAAACATTTGAATAGTATAGGGAAATCTAAGTAAAACTTACTCTTTCCCCAAAATTTATGTATTAAAAAAGATTTAATTGTACTAATTTTTACTGAAGCTTAAAAATACAGAGTAGAAATTATGACGAATACTCTAATATAATTTACTGCACCAAAAGGTCAGTTTTTTCAGTGTAGTTGTCCTCTCTGCACATTTTTGCACCCGAGCTACAGATCTCTGCAGCTCTTCTAGAGTTACCATGGACCCATTAGCAGCTTCTCTGGTAAAGGATTTTCTTTTAACAAGCCTCTCAACTTAGATCGTCACCCATCTCTTTCTTGGTTTGCAGTATTGCCAAACTCTTTCCATGTTTAGATGATGGATTGGACAGCGCTCTGTAATACGTTAAAAGCTCAGAATATGGTTTTATACAGTAGCCTTACTATACTCTAACCTCTCCTCAACCTACCTACATGACCTCTCTGTTGTTTCATACTAATCTTTTGATCTTACTAACTGAGATCCTCAGACTTTCATTGTCTATTCCCGTGTGTCTAAGTTTTTGGAGGAGTCATGTCACGGACATATCGTTTCCCAACGACGGATGGAAACCACTTGCGTGTGCTGGAGCAGATGGCTGAAAGTGTCCTCTCCTTGCATATTCCTCGTCAGTTCGTCAAACTGCTACTGGAGGAGGACGCTGTCAGGTATTTTTAACGGACCAAAGACAGCTTTATAGATGTTCTGTGACTTTGCTGAATGTTCTGATTGTTACAGCATGTGTTTTCGATCCATAGGGTGTGTGAGCTGGAGGAGCTGGGTGAGCTCGCTCCATGCCGGGAGAATCTCAGGAGGCAGATCATCACTCAGTATCAAACCATCATCCTCACATACCAGGAGACCATAAGTGACCTGCATGAATACAAAGGTAAGAAACAGAATTATCTCTGCATAGAACAGATGGGACTAGGCGTAAGAGATTGTAGATGGTTTTACAATGAGATACAAATCTTCAACATACATTAAAAACCCTGCAGTTTCCTTTAAAAGTCATTAAGGTTTAACTGGTCTCACATCTAAAGTGTGACTTTTTTACTATCCTTCCTGAACAATTCAGTTGAGTCTAACTTAAAAGTGTCAAGATGATGTGGCAAAGTTAGACTCTAAAGGTCAAGTTTAAAAAAAAAACTGTCCTTTATGACTGCATGAGCTCCTCAGAAGCTTAAAGGATATTAAACCTGTTTGCAATGAAAACTCATCCGTGTCGAGTCAATGAGAGACCACACCAAGGGGGCCTGCACTTAAGACCAAGTGTGCCATACAGAAGCAGAATCCAGCTTAAAATTTAGGAAATGTATTGGAGGAAGCCCAGTATGCAGCTGCACGCACATCCTGAATAGAGACCCGTCTAAAAAGTGCCCATGAGGCTGCAAGCCCTCTCGTGGAATGTGCTCGAAGACTAGCTGTGGGCTGGAGGCCCTTGCTAGAGTATGCCAATACAATAGCATCCACAATCCAGTGTGAAAGATGTTGCTTTGACACTGGTTTTGCGTCATGTTGCTTAGTCCAAGACACAATAAATTTGCAGTACACAAACTGGACACAGATCATGTAAATCCCTTTGTTCTTCTTATGCAAAAAGAGGAGAGTAAAAGACAGCCAGCTCTATAGGAGAGCATGCACCTAGCACTTTTGGAAGAAAGGCTGCGTTGGGTTGCAAAATAACCCCTGACTCATTGGGGAAAAACTTGATACAGGCTTGATGCACAGATAGAGCATTTATTTCACTAACATGCTTTGCTGAAGCCAGAGCAAGCAGTAGGGATGTTTTGAGGGATAGAAATCTAAGCTCAATGTCCTCCAAAGGTTCAAAAGGAGAAAGAGATAGAGCCGACCAGAACAGTGGGGAGGACCCACTGTGAGACCAGAGGCCTGGGAGTGGGTAATTTACGGAACGGCTAAGGAGCCTGACCTGAGCTCAACTCCCATTTATCTGCTTTTCTTTTAAAATTATATTTCATCCACCTTAACGTCTGGTTCCTTGTTAATAAAAGATTACAAGTAGCTCATCTTCGATTGTGTTTGTAGTATTTTTTTACTTGTTCCTTATTGCCTTGAAGATTTAGGAATAAAGTTAGGATTTGTCTCTCTCTCTTCAACAAAAAAATAGATTTTTAGCTTGAGTCTCACCAATTCACTGGCCATACGATTGGGTTTATTGTGACAAATTCTTTAAATATGTTTAAGATTAACAAAATACTTCTATAGTGTCAATATATATATATATATATATATATATATATATATAATTTTTTTATGATCTTTCATAAATTTTAATATTTGTTTTTTCTCTCTTGGTATCTGACAGGACCTTCATTCAAACCCAGTACCTTAAAAGCTGAGAGGAAGTTGGAATTCATTCCCACCAACCTTCACATCCAGAGGATGAGAGTTCAGGGAGAGACGGGTTATGGTACCTAAATGTGTACAGTTCTTTTCAACAAGCCTGGGACATCTTCTAGTAATATAGCTGATTTCAGTGGAATCCCTTTTCAACTGGTTTGTGTCATCTGATTAGATTGGACTTACGACGTTGTGACCATAGGGGCTCCTGCAGCACATCATCAGGGCTTTAAAGGCTGCGGCCTCAGGAAACTGCTGCACAAGCTAGAAGAAGCGAGGAAGCAGTGAGTGATTGGAAAAAGAATACAAATATTTCATAGCCATGTCGCTGTGCTTATTCATTAATCTTTCATCATGTGATTTTTTGTCCTTTATTTAACCAGCACCTATGAGGAAGAGAGGTAAGGGTTTAGAGTAAAGGATATATGAGGTCATTTTTATAGAGTTTTTTTTTTTTTTTTTTTTACATTAGCCACATTGCTTCCTCCATTTAGTTTCTGTCTCTCTTTCCCTTTTCTATTTATGTGGACAAACCTACACTTACCAAAAGTTCTGCTGGCTTTGGCTTCAAAGGAATGAGCTACCAACCTCAGGATGTTGTTAAAGCGAAGGAGCTGATTGCTCAGATTAACACTCTTAAGACGCAAGTGTGTTACTACACCGAACGCCTGTCCAGAGCGGCCAAGGAACGCTCGGCCAACGCTATGGAGAGAACTCTGGCCATCTTATCAGAGAAGGTGAAACATTGCTCAGAGAAACTGAAAGGACTTGTACTTTAAAATAGCCATCATATGTATTGGGATTTTTATGTGATGGATGAACATAAGGTAGCACATAACTGTAGAGTTAAAGGAAAATTACATAAAGCTGCCAAAAATGATGAAGGGGAAGGAAATGAAACCGTGAGTCCCTCTAAATAGGCCTCACCTGGCAAGACACATTGGTCATATGTAACACTCAGGTTTAATCTTCACACTATTCATTTGGGATTGATCCCATCAAAACTATTATGGGAAAGGGTGGATGCTTAGCAGAACCTTTTGGAGCTGATATGGTGAAGCGACACTATCTTCCCAACTACCAAAGTTTGATTTAAGCCAAAGTGAGTGTGTCAGCAGATGCCATGAGAGACTTAGAGTGTCTTTTGCTTTTCAAAGATGAAATTGTGGATTCTGGCTAAACAGACGCCATAGTAGTGCTGACGTGTGTGTCCTCCTGTGGTACCAGGTTAATTTTGTGTGGCTGTGGTCACAGCAGTTCTTTCTTTTCTAATATGTCCTGCCTTAAACCATATTATTGCAACGGAACTGGTCGCCCGTATACCACAAGAACAAGCCATTCCTATTGTGAAACATGATGTTGGCTGCATCATGCCGTGGGGATGCTTTCCTTCATCAACACAGCAGATTGTCAAATTTAATGAAACAAAAAGTAGATCAGTTCTGGAAGAAGCTATGAAGGAAGTGAGATTTGGGTAAAAAAATCCCCTTCAAACAGGAAAGCAACCCTAAACTTTAGAGGTGTAGCAGTAAATATAAAATATCTTTAAATCAGAGATGTGTATCAGCGTCATGTTTTTGCAAAATACTGTTTCAGTGTCTCTATCCCCTGTTGCAGACCCGTCAGCTGGTGACAGTCTGCGACTCCAAGATGCTCTCATCAGCCATCGTGGCCCTTGCTGCCGCCCGCCCTCAGTTCTCTCAAAGAAGCACCCCATCTCCATCTTCCTCTTCCCTCTCACCTTCTTCTCGCTCGCCATCCCGTTCCCCTTCTCGCCACCCTCCCTCGCCTTCCCGCCCGGCCACCTCTCCATCGAGGCATGTAGCTCCTCCAGAGGGCAGCGAAAGGAGCAAAAGCAAGCGTGCCTCAACTCAGTCAGACCAACACGAGGAAGAGTGGGTGAGTGAATAAACTTGCAGTTTTTTCTTTACTGTTTAAATTTGGTTTGCTTGTTTGTTTGTTTTTTTTCTTACCATAATATTTGTTTACCTGCAGGAGAAGGTTTGGTTAAATGTGGATAAAAGCCATGAGTGTGTGGTCCACGCCGTGGACCGATTGCTGCAGAGAGACAAACTCCAAAGCGACAGTAGCTCTGAGGATGTCTTTCTACTTGCAGATGAAGATCCAAATAACACTAAGAAAGGTAAGGTAATGAATCTGCGATGCAGCACACAGATTAATGCATAACGAGAAAGCCCACTTCCTTCTTCTTGACACATCAGCACCGCCCTTTCCTTGGGCTCCTCTTCTTACTATTAATCTCTATAATAAAATATTAAGTTAAACAAGATTTTTATAATAATCAGCTTCTCTGTTTTTTGTTTTTGTTTTTTACAGAAAGCAGTCCAGAGGAAAAAAAGTCTCCTGGTGAGATTGTGTTTTCTTTTTTGTTTTGTTGTGGAAAAAGATAGGTATAAAAATGTGAGAAATAGTCTAAACCTAGTTGGTCATATTTAGAAATTGGGGTAAATATTCTAACATCATATGAAACTCTTTCAGGCGAATGGAACGAAGTGCTCTACCCGCTTCTCACCACTCTGACAGAATGTGTGTCTCTGATGAGCGACAAAGCAAAGAAAGCCTTGGTCTTTTTGCTGATGCAGGACAGCGCCCCCACTATCGCTATGAGCCTCACTATGCAGTATCGCCGAGATGTTGTTTTCTGCCAGACGGTACAAACTTTTTTTATGTATGCCTTTTGTGTCCCTTAAATGTTTTAAATTATGAAACTTTTATCACCAGACAAATATAACCTCAGAGCAGTGTTGTTTGCAAGCAGGGATTTTTTTTAGAAGAACTTTGTATGCAACCACAGTAAACTACTGGTATAGAAATAAATAAACATGTAATTTACTGTCACTTTGCATCTTTGATTCTTATTATCAGTTATTTAAAAAAAAGGTTTGATTACATTTGTTGCAGCAAACGGTTGTAAAACTAATTATTACTTGGGATGCTTAATATTGGAACTTCTGCAACTATTTTACAACTGTCCGAAGCTGTCCAAAATCTACTTTGCAGCTTTTTGCAATTTTCTGCCTTTGGACTGCTGTTTACAAGGCCTCTATCTCTAAATCTTTTCCCCTTTTTTTATGGGTGACTTACTGTATATTATTGGAATTACTGATATCTAACATTCAGTTTTAAAGCTAATATTGATCGACACCAATAACAAGCCAATACTATCAGGCATCCCTAATTATTAGGATCATTGCTTTTTCTTTTTAAATAGGCTCAGGCTAGTTTTAATTGTTGTTGTTTTTTCACTAACCAAAATCAAATCTGTTTTTTAAAACAACACTTTCTGTATTTGTTTGACCATCTTTGTCTGACACTGGAACTTGTTCAATCATCTGAAACATTTCAGTGTGCCAAAATGCCGGAGAATCTTTGAAGGTGCAAACATTATATCGCTGCAATCTATAATAAATATATTTATACATGCGCAAACAAAATTCAAGCATTTAAACAGCAAAATTGATACAGAGAACATGAATGATGTAAGCTGTTTTGTTTGCAGCTGACGGCACTGATCTGCGGCTTTGTTCCCAAGCTGAGGAACTGTCTCTGCGACTCCGGCTTCCTGAGGCAGCTGCACACCATCGGCTTGTTGGTTCAGTATGAAAGCCTGCTCAGCACCTACGGTAACAAATTTTTTTAAGTATGATTGAACACCACTGTTATGCTCCATGTGTTACTCTGTAACCCATTGCATATTCTAATAACAGAATTTTAAGTATTTCAGATGATGAGATGGTCCCTGATCAGCTATAGATGTCAGACACATGGCTGTATAATAGAGGTGCACCGAAATAACCAGAACTCTGTGGCCAGATGTCAGTTTTACCTTACAATACAAAACAGTTTTAGTCATTTCTCTTAAAGGAAAATAATTGAAGAAGATTTGAGTGTATGACACTGAAACTTTGTAGATATTTCGCTTCCCATCCAGGAAGTTTTTTGAATTCAAAATGTCAGGAAGAGCGTTGAGTTTGAGGCTATATGCAGAGCCCAACAAGCCTTTGTTTTTATTTAGAAAATATGCAAATTGTAACAGACTAACGGGTCCACCCCTTTGGAATGGGGGTTGTTTTGGCTTCTTTTGTTAGCCTGCAATGCCCCATACCTGTCTATGTCTCTGAAAGGGGTGTCGTTAAAGGGAATTGTTGGCCTGGCTGAATAGGCAAGATCTTTTATTCCCCTGTAATGTGGTTGGGGTTGCTTCACGATGATAGCGGAATGATGATAGCACCTTCCTAATGTTAGCATTTTTTGATCTGAGCTATTATATCTACTAATATGCTAAGTGACAATATAGTTTAAACATTCGTTTTTAAGTATGAATCCTGGAAATTATAAATCCTTCCCTCTGCCGACAATCCCTTATCCAGCATGTTCTGAGATAGAAAGAGGTAGAAAACTTTTAATAATTGAAGAATTTAATTAAGCTGAGTATATTTTAGTATAGCGTTGACTGCTTGGTCCCTGACAAGTATTGTACTTACAAAACACAGAGAGGATGTTTAGACAGAGCAAAACACATTTAACCTTAGTGTTATCTTCTAAAAATCTTGCTCTCTCCTATAGTCTGAATTATCTGTGGATATTTCTTATCATGCTGTTAAATCAATACTGCATAACTTTTAACCAAAATATAAGCTTAATTTGAGATCAATTCAATTATTTTTTATGTTATTATACAGAAAGTTGATGCATATTGGGATATGCAAGATCCATTGGGATTTAGTTTTTACATATGCATAGATATACGTTCAGATATATAT